TTACTATATAATAGCGGAGATCATCATGTGATCACGTGAATTTCAGAATCATCCAATTTCACGATCATCCGCGACAAGAATTATTATTTTACATCATTATATTTCTAAAGTATATAAATTTTTTTTAAAATTTTGATTTGATATCTTGACAAGTACCTAAGTTCGATTAAAAATTTTTTATTCGGGTTCTTGAGAATTCTAATCGTATTTACATCGCATAATTTTTTGATTTTTGTGAAATTTTGACGTAATAGATAATTCCCAGGACTAAATTTTGTTTTTTATAAATTGGATTTTCTGAGCTGTTAAAAAAAATAAGATGTTATTTATTATTAACACTTCTCTCAATTGATACGCTCCAAAATTCAATAGAGTCATCGTTATCTTATTTACTATTAAGATCTTATATATAAAAAAGTTAGGTCGAAAAATATACTAGATAGCCTTAATTAGTTCAAATTGAACATTAGAAGCTTGGTAAGAAGTTGAAATAGCATCAGCTGCGACATCAATTAACAAACAACCCTCATACTTACAAATAACTGACTAAACAAAATTCTTTAAAAATAAATACCTTATACTTTATTAATTTCTGATATATAATACTCTAATCAAATTCTTATTAATATATAACGATAACGTAATTATGGCGATAACTTTTCTTACGTATATAACGTATATATTATGATCTTGCCACAAGAATCAATTATAAGTATATTACGTAATTACCGCTATAAGTTTATCGGATAATAGGAAAAACGTCATTGAATGCCACGAGCCAATAAATTACTTATCTGGTTTTTAAATTTAATGTACTGTATCATTCCTGGGACCTGAGGTTTGCCATATTTAAAAAAAACCGGATACGTAACGATATGGAGCCCATTATTGGTTTGCATCCAATAACTGATTTAGTTGAACCATGATGATATATTTATTTACTTAAAAAACATTTTTTAACATGCAATGAGGTAATTATTACTTAATTTACTTAATTTATTTTATACATTATTTCCTTTCCTAACCCATATCAACTAATTTTGATCTACATAGTGCATTGGAAACCCCAATGTACCACTGTACTACCTTTTATGTAATACTAAAAATTAAAGTTTATAATGCAGTAATGAATTAAGTTCCGCCGACTTGTTAGGTCTTCTCTCTCAGATAACTCTGATATAATCAAAGTCAAAATCGAATTTTTAAACGATGGATAAATGGAGTGATCGCAAACAGCCCAATGTTCTTCTTTTATTTGATGTTGATGGAACTCTGACTCCTGCCCGGAGGGTAAAAAAACGTTTTATTTTTTCAATTAAATGTGTTAGATATTTTATTAAATGGTTTTTCTTTTTAATATAGACAGTAACTCAAGATATGTTAGAATTGCTTAGAAAAGTGAGAAAAGAAGCTGTTATCGGATTTGTTGGTGGATCCGATCTTGCAAAACAACGGGAACAACTTGGTCCTACTAGTAAGCGATCATTGCTTGAATGATTCTTTACGATATTAAGCTATTCATTATTCACAATTTTACTTTGAATTATTATATATTTTCACAGTTCTGGATGATTTTGATTTTGCTTTTTCTGAAAATGGTCTTATTGCATACCGAAAGGGAGAACAATTGGAAGCGCAGGTTTGTCTATTACTTTTACAACAATTTAAAAAAAGTATTTTACTTCATTTAAAATTTGACATTAATTCTTTAGAGTTTTATTGGATGGCTTGGAGAAGAAAAATATAAAAAACTGGTTAATTTTCTTCTTAAATATTTAGCGGATATTGATCTTCCATTTAAACGGTAATTATTGTGTATATTTTTACTTACATGATATAATCAACGAAAAAATATTTATGTTAAATATTATTGTTCTAGTGGAACATTTGTTGAATTCAGAAATGGCATGATCAATGTAGCACCACCTGGACGTAATTGCACGTAAAGCATCTCAAATTTTATTTTATTTTTCTTTGATACGAAAACAAGATAAAAAATAAGATAAAAATAAATGATTTAAATCATCATCATTTAATATCATTTAAGTGTCGAAGAACGAAATAAATATGAAGAATATGATAAGGTATGACTGACTATTTTTCTATATCTGATCAAGATATTTTTATCTAATCCTGTATTTTTTACTAGATCCATAAGATTCGCCCTAATCTCGTAGAAGCATTGAAGAAGGAATTTCATGATTATTCGCTTACTTATTCAATCGGTATGACACGCTTATTTATTTTTAGTGATAAAGATTAAGATTTTTTTCATTTATTTTATATCATATTTGGCATTTGGTAAATTAAGGCGGACAAATATCGATTGACGTGTTCCCGAAAGGTAATTCAAAATAGCATTACCATGTGACTTCGTACACGTGATATTGTAAATATTAAAGTTTAATCAAATTGATAGGCTGGGATAAAACCTATTGTTTGAAACATGTTAAAGATGAAGGGTTTAAGACCATTCACTTTTTCGGTGACAAGGTTTATGAGGTAACTTTTTTTTCTTTGACTTTAAATAGTTTTCGTTTATCAATCATTATCTATTCTTATAAGTAATTTATTTTAGGGTGGTAATGATTGGGAAATTCATAACCATGAATTGGTTGTAGGACATTCTGTCAGGAATCCTGAAGATACAATGAGACAAGTGAAAGAATTGTTTCCTAACCTTTTTTAAAGTAGGTTTATAATTTTTGTATCTTATTTGATAAATTAATGTTAAGAGCAATTTACTCATAACGAATGTAACCTTCTCGTTGTCTAGTAGTAAAATGCTTTTTTCCTTTTTGATTTCTATAAGTAGCCTGAATAAATTCGTAAAAATATTTAAAATACCATAATAAATTATCATATCTTCCATCATACCCGTTACCATCAGAATGAATATTCTCAGTCTCTTCAGGAATTTCATAAACTTCATTATATTCTCTTAAAAAATAATAAAGAGCTTCGATAGTGGATAAATGATATTCATCTTTATTTTGATATCTCCAAAATAATGTTTTTTGCGGTTTTATAGTGACTTTACGAATATTTTTTAATTCAGGATTATTCTTTGCCATATTTGAAGCCTGTCGCCATGTACCATCTACTATTATGAGTTTATCAAACGATGATCTTGGTATTTCTTGTAATGTTTTAGAGTTCTATTATAATAAATTAAAAGTGTATTAATAATTTAAGGAAATTGATATTCATATTCAGAATGTAAAAATATCATAATATTTACCGGACCAGGAAAAAGTAATAATAAACGATCCGGATTTTCAATCTTTGGCATTTGTGAATAGGAAATGATTTCCACATCATCTGGAGCTATTATTTTTGCGTGAGCTACCGTTGATTTACCATCCTTCTCTTTATGATGTTTAATTCTTTTAAAAAGGAAGGTATGACGGAATAATTATAGTGCTTTTCAAATTACTGTGATCGCCTGATGATCGTCCACCACGAAGAAATTTGAATAAATCTAATTTACGTATTTAAAAATAACAATTCCCTATCATATTTCGACTACCTCTGGTAATATCTTAGAATCGGGAAATTTTGATATTATTTTGTCAAACTATCATATCTAATGTACTACTAGAGATAATACTCGAGAATCGGAATATAATGGAGAATCTTGATGTTTTTTATTTCTAGACACGTTAATTAGATCTATTCGTGAAAAAGTGCAGAAATATTCGGATTTCTTCGTGATGGACGATCATCGATCCCAGTAATTTGAAAAGCACTAATTTTTGAAAGAATAAAAAAAAGCGTTAGTACAGCCGAAACCGAAATCTCACCACAGACCATGTGTTCTTTGATCACATTAGGCCAATAATAAAAAAATGTGAAATCCCACACATCAACTTTAATTGGTAACTTCACTCTTGGCAAGTCTTTACTATCGCGGCCAACAACTATGTAACACCAGTAACAAAAAAATTTGACTGGTTTATCACATTTTGGACAATGAGTTCTTTCAGCGATGTTTTCAAGTATTTCAGTAGAAGAAATTTTCAAACTATCGAAGGGGGAAGATATTTTGGAGGAAGTGTGTAGAGAATCAAAATTTTGAATGTTTTGAATTTGTTCATCTGTTAAGAAAGGTTCTTCAAAGTCATTAGCATCAGTAGTCATTTTCTAAACGGATTAGCATAGAGTGTTCTATCTCCATTCGATTTATGTTGGTTAATTAACTACTTAACACGTGGTAAACTCTAATGGTTCCCTATTTGGGATTGGTAAAACCGTTCGAACTGAACTAGACCATAACTGGCAATGATTGTATGATTTTACGATTAACCGTATTTCGTGGTCCAAACCCTCCTGTGCGGATATTTTAATGGAGCATATCACAATTAGTAATTTGACCCGTTTAAAAAATCACCATCTAAAAAGTCTCCCACACGGGTCACCCGACGGGTAGACCATAATATATCACCCATGTAAAATTGAACGGGTCAACTCAAAAAATCTCTATTCCGAAATTTCATGACAACCTTGCTTGTCTTTTATGTTTGCTGAGTCTACCATTTCAACTGATGACCCGCGGGTTGACTACCCGGGTGGCAATATCACTAATCACAATTGCCGTTATGCTTAATGTTTTTTAAAATAGAAAGTTGTTAATTCCGCCATGCGTAATATAAAAGAGTGTTTTGTCTTTTTTTTTTCCTAGTGTAATCTTTATTTTTGTAATTGTAATAAGAGATTCGCGAAATCAAACGGATCTCCGTAATTTCTTTTGAACAAATTCATGATAATAAATGTTTATTGTACTAACACGGTTTCTAATAAATACCGGGTGGTGAAAAGTCTCTATACAGGTCCCTTTTTTTTTTAAATCAGTAAAATAGTAATCATTGCAATATTATATATAAATTGTATTTAAAATCAAGTACTATAAATCTTAGCGGAGATAGTAAAAAAAGGGACCTGTATAGAGACTTTTCACCCACCCGGTATGTATGTGTATATATTGGGGTAAAAAATAAGCAATTATTACTTACATTATTACCTTGCCCATCTCTAAGTACATGAGTGACATTAACTCCGATGAAAAAATTTTCTGTTTTTGATAGTATGCCCTTATCTGATGGTTATATATGATCATGTGATGTTTTTTCATAACATAACCCTCGTGCAAAAATATCAAGGTTAAGCCATATAAAATATTAGATAATAAATGATTTAATTAAAAAATTAACGCGAATAATGAAAATGGATTTAATCGAAATCCCAAAGAACTAAATCCCAATAGTACTAAATTCCGACAATTGAGATTCCAAAAGAACAATATTTCGACCATTCATTAACCCAAAAGCTAAATCCTGAAAAAGAAAAATCATAATCCTGAATTATGGTCATAAGATGCTATTATTGCAAAACAACAACCCGTGCTTTTTTCATTTACTTATTGGCACGGGATTGTACGGGGTCACATGGCCGAAGGTTAACCCGTGCAAATTTAGTTATTTTTTACAACCCATACATTATAGGTATTACATTCGGGATGACGTATTTACAGGATCGGGATCGTTTATTTTATTTTTTTCAGGATTTAGTTTTTGAGATTCAAGTGTCAGGATCTAGCGCTAGTACCATCCATCGGGATTTAGTTCTTCGAGATTTTAAACGACTCCGAACGAAAAAATAACGGAAATTTCCATATTCACAACTTGAATAAATTTCTTATCTGAAACCTAAAATAAACATGAATAAACTGAAATTAGATTGAGATAGAGATATTATGTAATGGCAAAATATCCATAAATTTGAATAGATTTCTTAAATTTTATCTGACTTTTATGCAGACCCAATAGTGGCGTATCCCAAACTATGTGATAATTAGTAACAATTTGTTTCAAAAATAAGAACAAAAACAGATTTACTAATTATCACATGATTTGGGCGTCCCAAATACATCTATAACCCCAAATCAATATCAAACAATTATTTGTAGATATATCAATTAGCCGAGACTAGTGTTTTTATCGTTATAGAAATTTTTAATTTTACTTCACCGACAGATAGTTAATTTAGCCCTACATCACGCCAAGTGACAATTCACTAAAAATATACGCCAGCAACTAATCAAATGTTAAACCGAACCCTGTGATGTTGGCGGAATGACTGTTGGTGAAATGAGCAGCACCGAACTTTTAAACCTATTTATGCAACGGTATGGAAAAAATATGAAGGGCACGTGCCTCTTTACGACACGTATCAGCCAATCATTTGTCAAATTAGTGTTACTCTCGTTATAGTGAACTCTCGACATAAGTATAGCGAGGAACAGTTTATATAAAAACTCTCTCGATATAGTGAATTTACTCGAACTTTACTAATAAGCTCTCGATATAGTAAAGAAAATTTCACAGCCTGATCACTTCATTATAACGAGAGTGATTTCAGTATTCGACAATTTAATAGTTTGCAATTTTCCTTTTTGATCATGTTAAAATACTCATAATAGCACTGAGTGCTATGAGCAGAGCGCTATGAATAGAGCTCTAGTAGATTAGCGAGATGAGAAGAGATGCGCTGCTAGCCGCTCAAAAATTTTTCGCTAGTCGAACAAAATGTCTTTATATAAATAAATAGCATCTTGAATTATTAAGCTGATCGGAGTAAAAAAATTCTTTAAAAAAATCTGATGTAAATTATCAAGATAGAAAATTCTTGGCTTTTTAACCTTTTTTGATAAATCCATATGCTTAGCCAAATCCTACGTATCTTGGAAAAAATTTCATAAATCTACTATACCTACGCGAAATTTCGAGTAAACATATTTGGTATATTACATGTCTATTGTATTCATCCGAGATAAAGTTACAATATAACTTGAACTATAGGTTCATATAACAGAAACGGACTTGATAGATTAATTTTTTATCAGGTTTGGCATATTATCGATTTTGACAGGATCGGCTTTGAGAAGTTCAACAGTATTTTATAGAGTTTCAAATTTGAAATGATCGATCTATAAATTCTATAACTTCTATCTTCATAAATATTAAACCAATATCTACTGTGAAATTTACTACATAGGCACTTGCGCTACCAATGTTACTAAAACTGGAAAATTCACTTTCTAGTGTTAATGGGCGTTTTCAAGCGCCTCAATTAATGGATCAAAAGTCGGGAATAAATTAATGATTTTTAATCGATCAATCGAACTTGTCATTAAGATAAGTAAATTAGCTTATTACGTGAAGGGAAATTAGAAATAGTAAAAAAAGAACAGTGAGCTTATCATTTCAGTCAAAAAACTTTTTTGCCAAAACTTTATAAAGTTAATAAAGTATTGCTCAAGTGTTTTCATACTTTTTATTATGGAGTTTCATTATCGACACACATTTTTTGTAGAATTCTCTCAAGCTATGATTGAGATCTTTATTTAGAAAATTCAGTAATAGTAATGTTTGAGTAGTGTTCCATATCGTTAGTTGAAAAATCAACTAGTTGACAACTTTCCAACTAATCGATTTAAAAAAAGTTTAAACAACTAATCGATTTGCTATCATTTGGTTCGATTACGATTATTCGTTAGTTATTAACTAGTTGCCAACCAACTATAGCTCATATATAATCAACTAAACAACTACTTAATCTTGGTAATTACCGCAATTGTAAATAGATATATCAGTTAAACCGATGAAGCCTGTCGTCATACATATATAATTTATTTATAATTTTAATTTTCATAAATCAAGCTTACATAGCATTTGTCTTTTATACAAAACCTTTCTAATCGTTTAATTTGCATTAGTCTGATGGGTCCAAAATTCAATTTATTATTCTATCGCTATACAGTGTTTAAAATCTTAAAATTTATGATCCAATTTAAGTTTTCGTATTGATTTATAGCAATAGAATTGGGTTTCGATAATTAGTTTAATATCAGCTATACAACTTAGCAGCTATACAACTTAGCAACTATATAACTAACAACCAAACAACTAGCCGATTATTTTAGTCATGTGAACACATATCGATTAGTTGCCAACTTAGATCGATTTGCAAAATTTTTACCAACTCGGAACACTACGTTCGTATTATTGTGGCAATAGGCAATTCTTGAATGTGTGCCAGGTTGATGGCGCATTAGCTAGCCACAATGATCTCTTTTATTTCAGTAAATACAGTACAATGCATTCGTAAAATTTCTTTTAAACGAAAACTTCCACATGAGTTTCATCAACCGTCCTGTACTTTGAATGTTTTCTATTTTTTTTTATGATTTGAAGGCATAACAGAAATAATTTAATTTTTATTTAGTTTGTTCATTATAAAAAGGTACTATTATAAAGAGAGTTTACTGTACTTAATATGTAAGTAAAGTATAGTAATTTCGCAAGTACTGTATATAAGGATAACAAAGATTATAAAATTTTAATAGAAAAGTGTATGTGGAGACATGTCTCCATGGAGACCCTATATATAGCAGCCAATCATATTTTAGAATTAATACAATTTTTTTTATATTTTCTTTATTTTTTATTATAAAATTTTAAAATTTTTAGCTAATTTTAATTGGCCAACAATAAGTAGTGTATTCTATAGTCACATGCTCAATTTTGATTGGTTATTCATATAGGGTCTCCATGGAGACATGTCTCCATAAAATAACACCCAATTTTAATTATAAAAGTGAAACGTCTTTAACATTAAGAAACACTAGTATTATTCTTTTTTAAGAGTAGATTATGAGAAATGTTTTTTTCCATTTAAAGATTTTTTTATTTTTGTAAACTATATAGTACGTGCTTATTTGATTTATTATCATACTTTTAAAGCCAATATTTTTTTTGTACGCATATTATATTAAGAACTTTGACGTTTTGGTCTGTAAAAATTTTTGAAAATTATAATTTAAAAGTAAAGAATATAAATATTTTTTTGAATTCAAAACAATAATATTAGTAGCTAAAGATTATGAAAAAAAATGAAGGGAAACGTGCTTTTTTGAAAATAACAAGAACATGATTCGAGTAAAATAACGTTAAAAAATAGTGTTTTCGTTTTATTAAATTTATAAATTTATTATTGTTATCATTAGAATTTTTCAATTGGCGCAAATTATTTAAGCGCCACCAACTTGGCACACATTCAAGAATTGCTTGTACAATATTTCAATCTAGAAAATCGCATCTAGGTTGATGCTTAATTTGTTTTATATTAGTTCTATATCCTCTACACACTGGTCAAATTTAACAATTTGATTATATAATTCGATTATCACTCGATATGTCCCTCAATTTCTGTAAACCTTGTAAATTTAGAATGTTCTCAAGCATTTCTCTTAATGTGATTGGCTAGTGTTAGATCATGCACAAGTGCTATGATTACTTGAAGTAATTCTTACAATGATTTTGCTAAAGATTCATGTTATGAAAATGCGGATAATAGATTTTGTCCAATCGGAAAAACTCACGATAAGAAAGATGGTTTATATCATCGCGATAATGAACTCTCTTGACCGAATAAAATATTTTACACTAATTAAATTGTGCTCTGATCTATTAAATTAGATGTTTGAGACTCATCTTCTTTTTACGCTTAATTATAGATAACCATTAGGGAAGTGTCAGATATCAGCTGATATCGTAGGGTGGGGGGGAGGTAGACAATATCTCAGGTCTAAATATATACTTATAACCAATCAGAATAACTAAATTTCTCAGGATGGAGAGAGGGGGGTGAGCTCTATAGTAAACTGATCTCAGCTAATATCTGACACATCTTATCACGCTCAATGTACCATTTTTTAAGGTTACAAAAATTACATCGCTGTTTACATATGATATGTATGAACTTAGTATCTCTTACTGTATTTAACTTCAACTCTTTAGCATGTTCGAGATATTACAGCTTTAATTTCTTTACGCAGTATAGTTACACAAAAATTGTTATTTGTTTTTTTTCAGGGCGTCAAAACTCACATGACCTACAATTCCTATTTTGATCATCAATAAAACGCGTAGCTCATTTTTTTTTGTATTGTTAAAACAGACTTCAATAGAAAGAGACCCGAGGTGTTATTATATAGTAGGTTAGTAATTTTCACTTTACAACGTGGGAATCTAACGAGTCAGCATGGTGTACACATGGAAGACAACAAAAACGACAAATACAACAGACGGCAAGAATAACAAAGATGACAAAGACAACAAATACGACAAGGACAGCAAATATGGCAGGACAACAACTACGACAACAACAAAGTATTAGAAGAAGAATGAGGAATAGATACGTGTACACCTTGCCGTGAGAGGTTAATTTTAATATAAGAGGTGGATTCTAAGGTCTGCTAGTTCCGTTCCGGTAAAGAGGAATTAGCTATGCACCTTTCTTAGAAAATGATATGCTCTTGTAAATTAATTTTCATACTCACGGGTATAAATATCATAATACAGATACGACCTGAAGTTAACGATCCTTGGTACAGAAGCGAACTAAGCTTTAACGCTAATTATAGGTTAGTAATTTTCACTTTACTAACGAGAATCGCATGTGTGTGCACATGATGCGAGACGACAACAGGTAAGAACCACAAGATAACAAGCACAACAAAACAGCAAACACGGCAGGACAACAAATATGTTAGAAGAGGAATAGGGAATGGATATGTGCACACCTTGCTGTGAGGTTAATTTTAATATAAGAGGTGGATTCTAAGGTCTGCTAATTCCGTTCCGGTAAAGAGGAATTAGCTATGCACCTTTCTTAGAAAATGATATGCTCTTGTAAATTGATTTCATACTCACGGACTGTAACTATCATAATACAGACACGACCTGAAGTTAACGATCCTCGGTATAGAAGCGAAAATGTCCCTCATCCCCGACAATTTTTGATAATGATTGAATATCTGTTAGGTACCATTTTTAAAATCCTTTTCAATTTCACTTTTACAATCTTCACTTGTTTCATTATCCATTGTTAGGGAGCAAATAATCTCATATTCGGGTTCAGGTTTTTTGGTCCTTTCAGTTTTGGGTGCCCAGGTTTTTAAAACTTCGTCAGATAATTTGTAATTATTCCAGTACAAATTCTAGGGCCTTGGAAATCTGTTTACCGTTGAGATTATCACTAAATCTTTCATTACTATTTTTCCAATTTATTCCGAAATCTTCTGATCGATTTATCGTTTCGAGAATTTCGTGGTGCTTGCTGGGGTCGGGACACTTTTGTTCGAGTTCCATTTGTTTTAGTTTTCGGGTAGATTTTTTTTTCTTTTTTTTTTGATTAAGGTTTTCAACACAGTACGAGTTTTTTTCTTTTTTTTTTGATTAAGGTTTTCAACACAGTACGAGTTTTTTTTCTTTTTTTTGATTAAGGTTTTCAACACAGTACGAGTTCGGTTTATGTTAAGTAGGAATTGGTGAAAAGAAAAGGTAAAAGATTTTTTATTTCGCTTAGAAATTGCAATTGAATCTATGCATAATCCTTTTCGTCACACTACCTAATTACAGTTGAGTTACGTAATAAGGAATTTATTGGTAACTTGAGTAATTTTGTGCCTTCTTTAACTAACTGATCAACTAATGTTTTTATTCCTTTGAGTACTTTCCACAGTTAACATTTCCACCGCTATTCAAACCTTCCTTAAACATCAGGGCTGTTCTTTTATTTACCTTTAGCCTTCAAGTTAACATTCAATTCTCTTCTCATTATCTCGCGAAATTTTTTCTACGAACGTTTAAAATTTTGCGTTTGTGTTGCAGCCACAGAATATTCTACTATTGTTCGCTTAAGCCTCTTATGCAAATGAATAAACATTTTATAATATTCTGAATCCACGATTTCTTTGGGGTCTTACTACGCCTTTAACCCGTGACAATATCGATATAAGCTTTTATACAGAATTTAAGAGCTTTATTATCGCATTATATATATGTGTGTCAACATTGATTCGTGCTTACAATTATTTGTTCAAAATCAGAGATAAGCTTTTATATTCTTTCTCTTATGCTTCCTTGTATGATATAATATTAAGCTTTGTAAGAAATCGTTCCATGTCATCAAATAAAGTATAATAAAATTGTGCCCTTTGGACTTCAGAAGCAAGCATATCATTTGCTCGATTTCTAATGATTTATTCAAGTTTTAAAAATTAGATTCAGACTTTGTTCAGATTATTATTAATTTTCAAAATATGCATATTTTTTTTAAATCAAAAATCTATACAAAACCTTTTTAAATTCTGAATATTTTAAATTTCCCGGATATTTCTGATTTCCAGTTATAATTTTTTTTTTCTGTATAAAATTATATCAGGGAATCAAAGATATTCAGGAAATTTAAAAACATTCAGGAATTTAGAAAGGTTTTATATAGATTTTGTTAAAAAAAATGCTCTGAATAAAGTCTGAATATAATTAATTATTATTATTATTTTTACAGGGTTTATTAAGATCTTTAAATGAATTTTCACATTGGCCCAACATTCAGTAAGTATTTCCACAGGTGATTACATTGCTTGACTCAATACCTAAAATCTCTATTCATATCTGCTAATAAATCCTCGTGCGTATTGCGACAACATGAAAACAGGCTAAAATTAGAAACATTTTTTTATGTCCAAAAATTTTGCAACCTGTTCGAATTGCTTTAAGGTTGTTAACGAAAAATGCGTACTAGATTGACATGTAGGTAGGCAGGCGTGTCATATTTGTACACGTATATGTGAGCATTTTACTATAAAATTTGAATTATAAATATTTTAAAATATTTTGTTTTTTTTAAATGAAAATTTCTTAATTTACACTAGTATATGAAACGGTATTTTCTTTTTTAAACATTCATCAGTAAACGATTATGTAAATAAGGACATACTTTAAAAAATAGAAACTGTACGTCGCTAAATAAATCACTTGTCTGAAATTGGACGTCGAATCATTAATTCTGTAACCAATATGTCGAATAATAATTTGAGTGCCGTTAGCGATTGTTCAGCTTCTTTAACTAATAAATATAATTGATGAAAAACTTATTCTGCCCTATGCGAATATTGTTCTAAGCATTGTCAAAGAGGAATACCAACCGTAATGGAATTACATTAAGCAAATGAATATTCTAATTGTCCAGAGGACACAAAAATATTGGCAAGATAAAATTCATAATCGAAATAATAATTCAAATTCTTATTCATTATAAATAAACCTTTTCATTGTAAAATATGCTCAAATAAATTTTCATTGTTTTATCGCAAGTATATAACGGTTATCAGTTTATATTATAAGCTTCAAAAATATATAAATAGTATTAGCCTATCACGTGGATAGTTTAAATTTTTATCATGACTCAATCGACTCTATTGATTAATCGGCTTTTATAATAGTAAATATATACGGTATAAAAACCGGGTCGAACCGTTAGCATCTCTACACGGGTATAATTTATGTGGCAGCTAAAATTATAAAATCTTAGGGTTTTTTTGTGGAGCTCTTTTTTTATAGTTAGGTTAGGGTTTAGGGTTAGATTATTAATAAAAGAGTATAGGTGGATTTTAGTAGGTATTATAGATTTAAATTGAGACTCCAAATCTTAGCATAAAAATCCATATAATACAAAATTTAAAGACAAAAATTAAATTTAGGTTAGGTTAGAGTTTAAGGTTAGGATATGCATGGTTTATATTAAAATTTTGCAAGGAATCTTTTTGTCCCTCCAAGAATAATAGGTTTATAGACAAAATTTTAAACGTTAATGAATAAGCATATTATATATGTTATAAGCGGGAATGGAATCATAATAGGTTCGGAATCCACTTAGATTAGAACGGAATAATTTTATTAAAAATCCCAATCCTAACCTTAAAATTCCGACTTAAATTCTGGTCCCCTACGACATGTATATTAGAAATGAAAACTATATTAAAATATAATGCTACATTTTTTAACCCATTTTTATATTATTTTAAAATTTTTAATAATGCACATAGTTTAGCTTAAATCGAATAAAAGACTGGGTTCGGAACCGGGTTGTTAAAACCGGATTTAATCGGTTTTATCTAAACTCGGTTCCAATCTATATTAATTCTATTAATTTTGATTAGTATCAACTATACGTGTACACTTTACTTTTTTATAGTAAAATCGTGAATACATTTTTTTCTATCAACATGTGTACAGAAAATTATTTTTGCATAATTTTACATAATTTGTGTAATATGTGTATATTTTTTAAGCTAAAAACTTGCATAATTTTTCATAATTTACAATTTACATAATTTAGCCATCCTCGCATCATAATTCTGGACACTCTACTTTAAAAGTAGATCTCAAGTGACTTAATCGTCATATGCTACGACAATTATAAAATAATTATGTATTTTGTGAATAAGAACGAGGAAAAATGCCATGGCTAAAACTAAAACCAACAAATCAGATTCGGAGCTTCGGGTTCAGCCATCAGCGGCCACGAATGCTAACGTTTAAAAAAAAAACACACACAATAAAAAAAAGTTTTTTTTTCTTACATATAAATCAGACCGGTCGGATCGAAGTTGACCGTTGATTGACCGGTCCAAGCCAACTTTTGTATATACGACATTATTAATTTACATTTTAATATATATCATACATTCGATAAAAATTTTATTGTATTTATTAATTTCTATATAATATATCTTTCTGTGAATTTCTATAGCAGTAGCCATGGTTGCGAGCAGTAAATGCTAAACTATGATATAATTTTATGTGCTTTTGTATTATTAAATTGGTCAGATACGCAATTATGATGTAAAAAATTACATCAATTATATCGTATAAATAAATAAATAAATATATATATATGTTACAAGTTTTCTCAACCTCCAAACTCATTCTTTGTCATAATAACACGTTAAATATTTACGTATCCAACAAACTTTTTTAAAAAGATGTCAAAATCAGCACAACGAGATACCAAATCCCATGTTTCTCACATCTCACAGGATTATTGTGATGTCAAAGAAGGCAAAAAAGGACAACCTCACGAACTTCATGAAAAATATGTTCATCCTTCTACAAATCATGATCCTAAATTAGCTTTTAATCAAAAAATGGACATTGAACGAGAAAGTCGTAAACAGCATGCGGATAAAGAAATTGAAGCGGAAGAACGAGAAATTGAGAAAAGTAAAAATGAAAGTCAAAGCAAGAAGATGCCAGTTAAGAAATAAACCATTGAAGTGGTTGATAACATGATGATGTACATATTAAACTGAGAAGTTGTTCTTTACAGATTAGTAGTATTAATAAAATTCAAAATTGGATATTTAAAAAGATATCCTTGTGATACAGATATATACACTTGCCCATCATAAATGAGGATAATAATTAGGTTAAATATGATTTACCCTGGACAGATACAATATTCATTACTATGTAATATATGTTGAATACTTAAAGTATTAAAAGTTCTTTTAAAATTTCGTTACTTGAGCAGTTGTGTAATTATGCGATTATTTAATTAAGGCCATCGACATTCGTGTTTAACTGGTTTATATGAGCTTTTAATCCTACATTTGTCATGTTCGAAGTTGCTACCTGCCTGAAGACATCACCTGCAACTCCACGCAGGAGACTACTTCAGTCTAATATTTAATAATTATAGTTAGGGAGACGTCACACATTCATTAAATACATTTGAAAAAAAATGTTGCTATTTTATTTTATACCAATCACTAGTTTGTGTCCTGCGCTTTGCACATGAGTATACTTGCTGGCAAAACCCTGACAAATCCAAAACTCCAAAAAAAAAACAATGCCTGAAGGGACATTTTCCCTTGGCAGCACTCATATGTTATCTATTATAACTATAAAAATATATACTATTTGTTTAAACAAAGATTATTAATAAAGTTTTTTGAGATACGTATTAATTTGGATGTATACTCTTGAGTAATTTTATACGTAGTCGCGTATCGTTAAAAAAAAATTTTTTTTATCATAATTATAATATTATTTTTTTGATTATATTGTTATTAAAAAATACAGTTATATATTAAGAATGGTAGAAAAATGTTACGAATGATACGAATTAAACAATTGCTGATATCGAATTTTTATAAATTCTATTATTTATATACTATATAAAAGCAACTAAATGTTCAAAAAAAATGTTTTTTTTAGTTTATAATCTTCGATTCAAAAACAGAATAATTGCTTCAAAAAACCCCGCCTTCATATCTTTCTAACATTTATTTTCTTGCTTTCCAGAAATTTCCTATACTAATTTAATTTACGTATATATAACTTTCTGTATAGTGCTCATTACCAACTAAAAAATTAAAAATAACCGTTATCAGTTATTATTATCCCTTAAACCGTCCAGTTTTAACAGGCAAATTTGCCTGCTTAAATTTTATAAATTCATATCTGATCTATTTTTTTAAAAAATAAAAATATTTTATAATTTTTTTTTTTAAATAAAAACTAAGATTATATACTATTTAAAACTTCTTTTTATTTGCTTAATATTTATAAAAAATTTGAAGTTGTTTATAAAAGAAAAATTTATAATTTTTTAAAAAAATTTTAATTTTAAAAATTTTTTCTGTTTTTTTTAGTTTTACTTAATAAAAATATAAGCTATGACCCCTATTATCTTAATCCAAAGTTGTAGATAATTTTTTTTTAAATTAAAGAAAATCTTCTTGGTCAGAAATTTTTATTAAGTCGAGTTCAAATACTATACATTTAGATAAAGGTACATCAAGCTATACATGCACTTTTTGAGTACCTAATTTAAGTAGTCTGCCCGAAGGTTCTACACTATCTACCATATCTGCACTCCAACTGGGGGGTATCCATTTAAATCTTCTGATCTTAACATATTTGGCCTAACACCTATTTTAATGCGGGTGTAACTCACTATTTAAATGTAGATTTTGCAACACCACTATATAAATAGCCAACTTAGAACACTTTACTATTCTTGAAGATAAGCCCAACAGAGCAGTACATGTCTTATATATACATTTACCTGCATGTTTCATAATATCTTTCTAGTTAGTACCTGTTGTGCTGCCGACACTAAGTCCGTATCTCAAGCTACTCTTTAGAGCACTGCCATAACCAGATCTGTATCTTAAGCCACAACCTTCCTAATTAGTTTTCCATTACATACTCATTGCTCTTAATGGTTCACAACAATTTTGGTATCTACACTTGGAACCATCTTCTTACCTGGATTTTTTATCAGTCTCTTCCTTACTTCCAGCTAGCAACTTGAAAGGGTTGGTCTGCTCAGGCTTTAGGTGCCTGAAGGACACTCTCCCCTTGGTTCATACTTTCAAAGCATATGCTCTTTTCCTCCAGTGCAACAACTCGGTAGTTCGGCTAGTGTGCCCTCTGCTATAGGACCTGGTTGCTTAATTCTCCGATCTCAGACCCTGGTTCAAATTCAGCCCTCCTGTGATACTGTTAAAGATCACTGTTATATCCAGATTTAGATTTTCCAAATGGGTTTTCGGTTATGCTGATTTCTCAAATTTATTACGCCAAAGCTCCTATTACAAGATAGTGTGACTAAAGTTACAGATTTAGTTCTAGATCCAACCAATAAGCATAGCTATCAACTAAACACAGGCCTATTTTTCAAATATTATTGCTAGTGAGATTTGAACTCTAGACCTGCCACTTGGAGAGGGTGATGACTAGACCACTATACTAAGTCGCCATACCTCTAAGTTGTAGACAATTTAAAATTACACTACTTTTACTATTAAAACTTTTATAACTTATTAAGCAAAATTTAAACTTATTTAGTAGTAACTAAAAAACTTTTTTTTGAAAGCATATAAAATTTTAAGAAACTTTTTAAAATTTTAATAGTAAAACTAAAAAATCAAGTTTATTAAAAATGTAATATCTTTATCAAAATTAAAGATAAAATAATAAAATTTAGATATATTATATATAAAAAGAATATCTTTAATTTTATTAAATAAATAGGGGGTCAAGCTTAAATAAATTTTAAGAAAACTCAAAAAAACTTTTTAAAAATGATTTTAGCAGATAATTTTGGCTACTAGACGGTTTAAGAGATAAATCAGTTATACTATGCATATAAGTGGAAATGAAATTTCTGCTTACCCAGAATATAACTATTACTTGCATTTTTGAAAAAGACCAAAGATACTATATACAATGCTGTATGGTATTATTATTAGTTCTTTTTTTTGTTTTTAGCATAGCATAATAGTAAGTTAACAAATGGTCTTCATAATTAATAATTAAATTAATATGAATAGAGAATTATAATATATAGTTTATTTAATTCACAATTTATAAATGTTTATACTAAATAGATATGATGGTAAATGCTATATATGAGTTTATAAATATATCTATATGATTGTTTATTCAAATATATTACTTAATAAAAGATTATTATGCTCAACAAATAAAATTAATGTGAATAAAATAAAGCCAAATAAAAAGTATTGTGTAGCTCGAATAGCTTATTCAAATATACTAATTAATAAAAATCTTTACTCATCAAATAATTTAGCACAAATAAAATAAAAACTAAATAGGAAAAAAAACTCTTTTCCATAGATTAACAAAACAATAAGCAAAAGTGAAAAGTAAACAAACAGTGTTGTTTAGAATTTAATTAAAGCCAAAAACAGCCATTAAGGCATGTCAGTACAATTGGAGAATCTAATTAACCCTTTTACAAAGCTGAAAAGAAATTGAAACATACTACTTTCTACTTCTAAAGCCTTTGAATCCTTTTTTGTTCTACCAACACTATCCTCCCACACCTGGATGGATCCCCTGGGGCCTTTGACAGCACCAAGAGCAGAATACAGGTCAAAATATCCAATAACTTATTCTTGCTAAAAAAGATGAAAACAACTACTAACAGAAGTCAAATTAAAGTGATCACAAGTGATTTCTTAAAGACTTCATCTTGCACTGCACTTCAAAAATCAATTCAAAAATCATTCCAAAGTGAGCAATCCAGCAAACTCCTGTTAAAAATTCAAATAACATCACCAGATCAAAACAATCAAATATAAAAAAAAATGAACAAATTTTTTATAGTCTAGACTAAAGTAATGATCATTGATCTCCATATAGCCAACCCCTTTTTGACTTTATTCAAAACAACTCTTGGAATCTGGAGCAACAACCACTAGTACCAACTGAAATAAACCAACTAATTCAACCAAACCCTGCCCACAATAACAATATGAATACACAGTTCAACACAACAATAAAATCTTATAAATCTGTAAAAAAGTCTTATAGCAAAGCACTTATCCTAAACATCCAAACAAATAACTTCAAATTAGACTGGGCTAACTCAGTAGCCAAGGCTCTCACCAAAGACCACACAGTCAAATTTGATACCAACTTATAAGACAATAATACTATTATTAATGTCTTCTTTTTTTCTAAACTCCTACAAACATTCTTTAAACACAAAATTCAAGCCAAACCAACTAAACACAATATCTCTCATGCAATTAGCAAAAAGTTTAACTACCTTGACTTTACTTTCTTTACTTCTTCACAATAAATAAAAAAACGTAACCTCAACACCAAAAGGAGTTTAACTTGCTCTTACAAATAGTAATAAAAAAATACAAAAGATTATATAATGTCTAGTTCATAAACAAATTTAACAAAGATCATATTAAAAAATAAATTAGATTATAATCTGTACAAATTGCTAAAATTATCAAATCTTCACAGATTACTAATAAAAAAACTACGAAGTTTTGATTTTTAAAAACCTTTACAAATCGCTAATAAAAAAACTACAAAGTTTTAATTATTTAAAAATTTTAGCAGTTTTTTATTTAAAGTTAAATAAAAATTTATACAGATTTTTAAATATAAAGATTTTTGCAATTTAAGCTATATAATAATATATTAGACCATATAAAATTAATTTTTGATGGGTGTAGCGACTTAGTGAAGTGGTAGAGTTGTTACCCTCCAAGTGGCAGGTCTAGAGTTTGAATCTCACGGATGACAATTTTGAAAAATGGATCTATGTTTCGGTTAATGGTTGTCGATTATCGGTTGGATCTTAATCTGTAATCTTGGTTATACTATCTAGTAATGGGAGCTTTGGCGCAATAAATCCGAGAAACCAGAATAACTGAAAACCCGTTTGGCAAGTCCCAAGTTGGGATGTAGCAATGATCTTTGACAGTACCAC